GCCTCGTAGTCCAGCTGTGGGAGCGTCCTCCGCGGCCTCGTAGCCCAGCTGTGGGAGCGTCCTCCGCGGCCTCGTAGCCCAGCTGTGGGAGCGTCCTCCGCGGCCTCGTAGCCCAGCTGTGGGAGCGTCCTCCGCGGCCTCGTAGCCCAGCTGTGGGAGCGTCCTCCGTGGCCTCGTAGTCCAGCTGTGGGAGCGTCCTCCGCGGCCTCATAGCCCAGCTGTATGAGCGTCCTCCGCGGCCTCGTAGCCCAGCTGTGGGAGCGTCCTCCGCGGCCTCGTAGCCCAGCTGTGGGAGCGTCCTCCGCGGCCTCGTAGCCCAGCTGTGGGAGCGTCCTCCGCGGCCTCGTAGCCCAGCTGTGGGAGCGTCCTCCGCGGCCTCGTAGCCCAGCTGTGGGAGCGTCCTCCGTGGCCTCGTAGTCCAGCTGTGGGAGCGTCCTCCGCGGCCTCGTAGCCCAGCTGTATGAGCGTCCTCGTAGCCCAGCTGTGGGAGCGTCCTCCGCGGCCTCGTAGCCCAGCTGTGGGAGCGTCCTCCGCGGCCTCGTAGCCCAGCTGTGGGAGCGTCCTCCGCGGCCTCGTAGTCCAGCTGTGGGAGCGTCCTCCGCGGCCTCGTAGCCCAGCTGTGGGAGCGTCCTCGTAGCCCAGCTGTGGGAGCGTCCTCCGCGGCCTCGTAGCCCAGCTGTGGGAGCGTCCTCCGCGGCCTCGTAGCCCAGCTGTGGGAGCGTCCTCCGCGGCCTCGTATCCCAGCTGTGGGAGCGTCCTCCGCGGCCTCGTAGCCCAGCTGTGGGAGCGTCCTCCGCGGCCTCGTAGCCCAGCTGTGGGAGCGTCCTCCGCGGCCTCGTAGCCCAGCTGTGGGAGCGTCCTCCGCGGCCTCGTAGCCCAGCTGTGGGAGCGTCCTCCGCGGCCTCGTAGCCCAGCTGTGGGAGCGTCCTCCGCGGCCTCGTAGCCCAGCTGTGGGAGCGTCCTCCGCGGCCTCGTAGCCCAGCTGTGGGAGCGTCCTCCGCGGCCTCGTAGCCCAGCTGTGGGAGCGTCCTCCGCGGCCTCGTAGCCCAGCTGTGGGAGCGTCCTCCGCGGCCTCGTAGCCCAGCTGTGGGAGCGTCCTCCGCGGCCTCGTAGCCCAGCTGTGGGAGCGTCCTCCGTGGCCTCGTAGCCCAGCTGTGGGAGCGTCCTCCGCGGCCTCGTAGCCCAGCTGTATGAGCGTCCTCCGCGGCCTCGTAGCCCAGCTGTATGAGCGTCCTCCGCGGCCTCGTAGCCCAGCTGTGGGAGCGTCCTCCGCGGCCTCGTAGCCCAGCTGTATGAGGGTCCTCCGCGGCCTCGTAGCCCAGCTGGGGGAGCGTCCTCCGCGGCCTCGTAGCCCAGCTGTGGGAGCGTCCTCCGCGGCCTCGTAGCCCAGCTGTGGGAGCGTCCTCCGTGGCCTCGTAGCCCAGCTGTATGAGCGTCCTCCGTGGCCTCGTAGCCCAGCTGTGGGAGCGTCCTCCGCGGCCTCGTAGCCCAGCTGTATGAGCGTCCTCCGCGGCCTCGAAGCCCAGCTGTATGAGCGTCCTCCGCGGCCTCGTAGCCCAGCTGTGGGAGCGTCCTCCGCGGCCTCGTAGCCCAGCTGTATGAGGGTCCTCCGCGGCCTCGTAGCCCAGCTGGGGGAGCGTCCTCCGCGGCCTCGTAGCCCAGCTGTGGGAGCGTCCTCCGCGGCCTCGTAGCCCAGCTGTGGGAGCGTCCTCTGCGGCCTCACAGTCCAGAGTTCCACACATAGACATAGCTTCTTCTTTTACAGCTCACATAATAAATGTTTTTTATACTTTTCTTTATTATTAAGATGTGAGTATTAAGTTGGAAAGAAACCTGCAAATAATAATTTTTTATTTAGAAGATATGTAGATAAAATTGGAGATCAAATCTATATGGATGTGACTGTGGAACATTAGTATGTCCGGGACACTGTGCTGCAAAGATATCATCTTTTGGTCACCTAAACGTTTCTCACAACTTTGATGTAAATTATCTGTCCATGTGCGCGGGTACCATCCTAGCAGTCTTCACCTTGTTGTGTTAACAGAATCATGAAATAACTTTCTAGCCTATACTATTCCTGGTGCCTTCTCTTCGTCTCACCTAAGTTTAGTGCATTGCATTTGTCAGTGTTAAAGGAAAGTGACCATCTGTCCGACCACCGCTTGAGCGCATCAAAATCTCCTTGTACTCTCCCTCAAACGTCTTCGCTTGTAAATCTCAGCAATTATGCATAATCCGCAAGTAAGGATACTTAAGACTTTCTTCTCTTGGGTTGATGACATTTATTACAATTTGAATGACCCAAATGATCTCTCGGTGGTACACTACTTGCATTTTTTTATACTTGCAACTGTTCGCTGCTGATTTCTCTTCTTTCAGCATTATCCTCTGTTTTCAACCAATGATATGATCTCTCCTCCACACCAGCACTCCTTTAGTTATGAAATCCTGGTCGTCAATTTTGGGATGGAGACCTACTAAATGGAACTGATTTACACGTTTGTTGATTATCAATGAAAATAATGGCAGCTAACTTTTCTTCCCTTAGTTTTATCAGTTTTATTTAAACAGAATTCTTATTAACTTGTAGTGCATTATCTGCCTTAACTAAATCCATGCTGGTGCTCTGAGATAATTTTTTTTTTAGTGTTCCAGGAGACGTTTCCTTGCAAGCTTCTCTAGCGCCTAACTGAGAATGGTCGACAATGAAGCTACTGTGTAGTTTAGTGGCTCCTGTGTCCTTTCTTTCTGGCACGTTGGCACTACACTGGCTGTCTTCCATTCTTTTGGCTACTCTCTCTTTTTTACTGATGAGTGGAAGAGTTAATGGGAGGCTCAAGTCCGCAGCTACATCTTTCAGTCCCCACTAATACCATTTGTTGTTTACAGTATGTTGGTGAGTGTTTATGACTCATATGTGGCTTACAGTATGTTGGTGAGTGTTTATGACTCATATGTGGCTTACAGTATGTTGGTGGGTGAGTGTTTATGACTCATATGTGGCTTACAGTATGTTGGTGGGTGAGTGTTTATGAGTCACATATTGCTTGCAGTGTACTCACCTAGTTTTGCTTGGGGAGATTGAGCTTTGTCTCTTTGGTCCCGCCTCTCAACCATCAATCACCTGGTGTATAGATTCCTGAGCTTCTCACGCTCTATCATATCTACATTTGAAACTGTATGGAGACAGCCTCCACCACATCACTTCCTAGTGCACTCTATTTACTAACTACTCTGACACTAGAAAAGTTTTTTCTGTTGTGTCTGTGGTTCAGTTGCGTACTCATCTTTCACCTGCGATCCCTTGTGCATGTACCACCTGTGTTAAATAATGTGTCACTGTCTACCCTGTCAATTCCCCTGAGAATTTTGTATGTGGTGATCATGTCTCACCATGCTCTTCTGTCTTCCAGCGACGTGAGGTGCAGTTCACGCAGCCTTTCCTCATAATTCATGTAACTTAGTTCTGGATCTAGATTAGTGGCATACCTCAAAACTTTTTCCAGCTTCGTCTTGTGCTTGACAAGGTATGGGGCTCCATGCTGGGGCCGCATACTCCAGGATTGGCCTTACATATGTGGTATACAAGATACTGAAGGATTTCTTACATAGGTTTCTGAAGGCAATTCTGATGTTAGGCAGCCTCGCATGCGCCGCCGATATTATTCTTCTGGTGTGGGCTTCAGGAGACAGGTTTGGCGTGATATCAACTCCTAGATCTTTCGCTCTGTCTATTTCTCTCTCATTTGGTATTCACTATCTGACCTCCTATTTCCTCGACCTAGTTTCACCATTATTCATTTACTTGGGTTGAACTTTTGTAGCCATTTATTGGACCATTCTTCCAGTTGGTCTAGGTCATCTTGAAGCCTTATGCAATCTTCTTCTGTCTTAATGCTCCTCATAGTTTTTGAGGAGGACATATACCAGAAACAGTATAGGTCCAAGGACTGATCCCTGTGGGACTCCACTGGTGACGCTCCGCCACTCCGAGACCTCCCCTCCTTACAGAGACTCGCTGTCTTCTGTTGCTTAGGTACTCCCTTATCCAGTGGAGTACCTTCCCTTTCACTCATGCCTGCATCTTCATCTTGTGCACTAGTCGCTTATGTGGCACTGTGTCAAAGGCTTTCTGGCTAATTCAAGAATATGCAGTCTGCCCACCCCTCTCTTTCTTGCCTGATTTTTGTTGCCTGGTCATAGAATTCAATTAATCCTGTGAGGAAACAGAAACTGATCCTTAAGTAACAGGGGCCGTAACATTAGAGACAACTCCCCAAACCGTTACCAAGGCTATAACAACAGAGGTAACAACAATAACAGGGGCTACAACAACAATAGGAACTAGAATTTTTTCCAAGGGAACAAGGACAGTAGCGACAACGGAGACAAAGGCGGAGACAACAGGCGCCAAACACTGAACAACAACCAATCTGATCGGTGGAACAGCATGAACAGATACCAGCTGGAAGGAGGCCGAGACAGAGAGTGGAGAGATGGAGATCGGAGAAACAACGGAAACAACGTGAACAACACCAGAGGGAGGGAAGTTTAAAGCAAACTGTCGTTTACAAAGTCCCCTTAACCCAACATGAGAGGAAACTTCTGGAGAGGAGACTGAGTTGTGTGATAGGCCCACCAGCACGCAAGATACAACAGGACACCATTGACGCCTTAAGCACCAGCTTGGAAAACAGTATCAACCAAATCTGGAGCACCCTAAGACCTGACCAGGTTAGGTTTCAGCGAGCACCCCCAAAAAACTAAACTATCCCTCTCTTTCAGGTACCTCCACCCAAGGAAGATGAAACCACAACCAAACTACAACTTGGTGGGACTGAAGGAATGACACAAAGCGCAGACACAACTGCAACCTGCCCCGAGAGGGGAGGAGAGCCTTGTCAACACTGAAGTCGAGAACGGACATCGTGATTAAACCCGCGGATGAGGGAGGCACCGTCGTCGTCGTCTGGAGACTGGATAACTATACACGGGAAATGGAACGACACCTGGCGGACACAGCGGCATACCACCGGATCATAAACCAAGACGCTACTCTGAAGAACGCCCAGACAAAGAGCAGGAATTTAGTCCTCAAGCTTTTTAAAAATAAAGACCGAGATGGGAATGATGGGCTCATGCAAACAAGGTCAAGGGACTTTTACTTAGTCTTTGAGTCTGCCATCCTGCAGCTTTATCTTCTACCAGAGATTCACAAACCAGAGAACGAGATCACAGGAACGTTGCAGAAGAGACCAGTGCTGGGCGGCTGCCGGGCTCCTACCAGACCGGATAACTGGATGTGTACAGCCTTCCTCAACCCCCTTCTACGTCTCCTACCGGAACGCCTTCAAGACACAACAGACTTCTTGAACAAGGTAACCAGCATCAGAGATCCAGCTCCATGCAGAGCCTGCCTTTTCTCAATGGATGTGGTATCGCTCTACCCGAGCATATCACAGAGAGAGGCAGCCAAAGTGGTAGCAACCTTTTTTGATGAAAACGAACAGAGAATTACACAACTGCGAGAAGCGGGAGTATGGAGGCCGCCTCACAAGCAGTTATTTAAGGAAGCAATACTCCATGTAATAAGGGATACCCTCCTTCAATTCGATGGTAAGGTATATAGACAGACAAATGGCACTTCCATTGGAGCGTCCAGTAGCGTAACTATTGCTGACATCTTTATGCATGTAGTATTTGAAAGGGAGAGATCCCACAGAGAAGACGCCCCAGCAGTGTACCATAGACTGGGAAGCATATGAAGCTAAAACAGAAGATTTTTGGACCTGTAAATTTGTAGACCTCATCCTGGAAACATTCTTGTATCAACATGTTAAACAAGCTACGAGGATGAGGGAAGGGGTCGTTCCCTCCATGCTAGATTTCATATATACCAGGAAGGAGGAAGAAATATTTGACATTCAGTACCTTCCTCCCTTGGGTAAAAGTGACCATGTCTTTTTGGAAATAAAGTATGCAATGCGTTATAATCTGGAAGAAAATAAGAAGGTTGATGCAATTGAAAAACCTGACTTTAGGAGAGGACATTATGGCAACCTTAGAATTTTTTTTAGTGAGTATAATTGGACAGACTTGTTGCTAGTCAAGGAAGTAAATGAGATGTATGTCATGTTTTGTGAAATATATGATAAAGGCACAAAAAAATTATACCAAAACAGAGATGCAGAACTAGGAAACAGGATTGATTCAACAGAAATTGCGAGAGAGCCAGAGACCAAAAGACACAAAAATGGAATCAATACAGGAAGAGGCCAATTAACCCCCAAACATACCAGCGATACAAAGATGCGAGAAACAACTACACGGCAGTGAGGAGAGAGGCAGAAAGAAATTTTGAAAAAGGGATTGCAGACAAATGTAAAGCAGAACCAGGTCTATTCTATAAATTCATAAACAACAAATTGCAGGTAAAGGATAATATTCAGAGGTTGAAAATGGGAAATAGATTCACGGAAAATGAAAAGGAAATGTGTGAAACATTAAACGAAAAGTTCCAAAGTGTGTTTGTACAAAATGAAATCTTCAGGGAACCAGATACAATAAGAATTCCAGAGAACAACATAGAGCACATAGAGGTGTCTAGAGACGAAGTGGAAAAAATGCTCAAGGAGCTAAATAAGAACAAAGCAGTTGGTTCAGATGGAGTTTCACCATGGGTTCTGAGAGAATGTGCATCTGACCTCAGCATTCCTCTTCAACTGATTTTTCAGGCATCCCTGTTTACAGGAGTTGTAGCTGATGTGTGAAAAAAAGCTAACATAGTTCCAATCTACAAAAGTGGAAGCAGGGAAGACCCCCTTAATTATAGACCGGTATCATTGACAAGTGTAATAGTCAAATTATTGGTAAAAATAATTAAAACTAAATGGATAGAATACCTGGAGAGAAATTATATAATATCAGACAGACAGCATGGTTTTCGATCTGGAAGATCCTGTGTATCGAATTTACTCTATGATCAAGTTTCTATGATCGAGCAACAGATATATTACAGGAAAGGGAGGGTTGGGTTGACTGCATCTATCTGGACCTAAAAAAGGCTTTCGACAGAGTTCCACATAAGAGGTTGTTCTGGAAACTGGAAAATATTGGAAGGGTGACAAGTAAGCTTCTAACATGGATGAAAATTTTTCTGACTGGTAGAAAAATGAGGGCAGTGATCAGAGGCAATGTATCGAACTGGAGAAATGTCACAAGTGGAGTACCACAGGGTTCAGTTCTTGCACCAGTGATGTTTATTGTCTACATAAATGATCTACCAGTTGGTATACAGAATTATATGAACATGTTACATGTTCATATAATTCATATAAGAACATGTTCATATATGTTCATATCGCCATCCATGTTAAATACATGGATGGCGATATACTAAAGAAATTGTTCACGACTTTTGTTAGGCCAAAGCTAGAATATGCAGCGGTTGTGTGGTGCCCATATCTTAAGAAGCACATCAACAAATTGGAAAAGGTGCAAAGACATGCTACTAAGTGGCTCCCAGAACTGTTGGGCAAGAGCTACGAGGAGAGGTTAGAGGCATTAAATATGCCAAACTAGAAGACAGAAGAAAAAGAGGTGATATGATCACTACATACAAAATAGTAACAGGAATTGATAAAATGGATAGGGAAGATTTCCTGAGACCTGGAATTTTAAGAACAAGAGGTCATAGATTTAAACTAGCTTAACACAGATGCCGAAGAAATATAAGAAAATTCACTTTCGCAAACAGAGTGGTAGAGGGTTGGAACAAGTTAGGTGAGAAGGTTAAGAAGGTTAGCCTGAGGAAATGCTCAACTACGCCCAAGAGAAACTACGAAGGAAGACCAGAGAACAACTTCTCAGGCCCTCGGCCCCACGGTTGAAGGATAGGAGATGAATCCTCCCTACACTGTTCTTTCCTGGTTTTCTGGGAAACTAAAACAGAAATCTCAGACATATGGACCTGGATGAGGGAGACATACAGTGACCACCCCTCTTGAGAGAATTTTTCGCAAAATCCACCAATGATTGCGTGGAGGCGAGGTAAGTCCCTCAAGGATCACTTCGTCCGAGCAGGTCTACAACCCGGCACCCACGACCCGACAAGGGAGTAGGACAACCATGCCGAAGGAACCCGTCAACACCCACCAGCGCAGACCTAACCTGACACAGGAGCCTGCATAACACACCATGGTAACCGAAGTATATGGAGTGGTAAGGAGGGACTTACTTGCAAACAGTCATATTTGGTGTATGTGGGGTCATAACATCCTTCCATCGCAAGAGATGGGTACACGATTGCACAGTGTACACATCCATACTGACATGGACCGCAAAACAATATCATGAATTATATATTCACGATCAATAGTTAAGAGTTGCACAACACTAAATGCAAGCAATAATATTAATAATACAACAATAATAATATAGCATCATACAATACAGTATATATAATACAGATATAATAAATCATCAAGTTTATATGAAACTACAAGTATATAGCAATATACAAGCAAATACAACCAGGAAGTTTTATGACGGTCTCTCAAATTCAGGTATTTCTCAGGAAAACACCTGAATTAGGCACGGGCTAAGACATTCAATTTTCCAGGAATATGATGTATGTGGAGATTAAATTCCTGCTAAAACAACGACCATTTTAAAAACTTCTGATTATTAAGCTTTATTGTCTCAATGAATGTTAAAGGATTATTGATCAGTATACACGTCTACCTTATTCCCTTGTAAATAGATTTCGAATTTTTACATGCCAAAACAGGAGCATAAACCTCTTTCTCAACAACACAGTAATTCTTCTCTGTACTATTAAATTTTCTCGAAAAATAATATACTGGATGTTCTTCACAATCAATTCCGACTTGGAGTAGGACAGCACCTGTCCCCAAACCAGAAGCATCTATATACAGTACAAAAGGCTCATCAAACTCTGGACCAGCGAGAACTGGAGATGAAGACAAAATACTTTTTAAACCATTAAAGGCTTCTTGACACTGGGTAGTCCATTTAAACTTTATCTTGCAAGAAGCGAGAGGACGGAGTGGAGCAACGGTGCCCAAGCACTTGAACCATCGGGGATCGAACACAAACGTATTTTATAAGCAACACAGATCTTATAAATTTCAGCAAACTGAAGTGTACACAGTTGTTCTCACCAGTTCTTTAAGGTTTATCAGTTAGTTATTGAACTAAGTTAATTAATCAATATTAAAGTTATGTTTATCAGTTAGTTATTGAATTACGCCTGGAACCCGTAGGTGCGGGACTCTGAAGTCCTCCTCCTTGGGCTCTAGCAGCCCCAGGCTCTGCTTCAGGAGGCTGGGGTCGTTCTTGCACTTGCTGGGGTGGTTCTTCTCCGGCCCCGACCACGGCGGTCTCCGGGTTATGAGTCCCTTCGCCAGCTTCCAGGTCAACTCCGGAGCTCACAGTTCCTGCGACGGCGCTGGAACCAATCGTATTGGCGTTTGCTTTTCCATTGGAGACTTTCGGCGCCGTGGAGAGGGGGGGACCTGCTGCATGGTTGACAGCTTCTCCCCCGTATCAACCTACCCTGGCTTTGTGCCCTGGAGAGGCCACTCCAGACCGACAACCAGAGCACAACTCCATAGTCTCCTGAGACTGATGAATGTCTGCTACTACTACGACTAGAAGATATAGGTAATAATATATATGTAATAGTATTAGTTAACACAAAACTATATATTGGAGGAACTCTACAACCTGTAATAAGAAGTCTTGTACTTTGAATGTAACCAATGTTGTAACCCTTTTTGTGTAATGAAATTTTAAATAAAATAAAACGAAAATAAAAAAAGTACAGAGGTGGTATGAGAAGACAATATGTAAGTGTGCGCGGGTGCCCCACAAGGCTTCCCCTGATGCTGCATGTCGTCTTCTTCGAGGTCGAGGGTCCCTACAAACGCAACCAAAGATGGTACCCCCTATATATTTATATAACCTATATCTATAAAATAGAATGTTTATCCGAGGCTGGTGACCAGACACTTGGTGGGACTAGCCTCGCCCAGCTTTCCCAGATGAGTCATGTTGGGTAGGGGAGCGTCATAGCCTAGTTGGTGTCGGCCGAATTGTAATACTTTAAGAAATATCGGCATTTATATTAATAGCAAACCTAAGACAACCGTGCAGTAATAACATCTATGTAGGAGAAATCCACAAGGTCCGTGACGAGGGTTCGAACCTACGTCCGAGAGGATCCCAGATGCTGCCTTAATCGACTGAGCTACGACATGGTACAAGATTTGCAACCACAAGTTCTACTGACCTTACTTGGATCCTGCAGCCTCTCCGAGACACAAACCAGGATTTTACACAATTCCCCCATGAACCAGAGCTCTGTCAATAAGCCGTTCTACCTCTTTAAAAAACGAAGTAAGGGCGAAGAGGTAGAGCGGCTTATTGACAGAGCTCGGGTGCATGGGGGGAATTGTGTAAAACCCTGGTTTGTGTCTCAGAGAGGCTGCAAGATCCAAGTATGATCAGTAGAACTTGTGGTTGCAATTCTTTTACCATGTCGTAGCTCAGTCGATTAAGGACGCGTCTGGGATCCTCTCGGACGTAGGTTTGAACCCTCGTCACGGACCTTGTGGATTTGTTCATTTGATGCATCACGCTATTGTGATTTCTGTGTGTAATCTATGTAGGAGCTTATGATATATTAATAGCAGTGCCTATAAGCAACACATCCATCCTCCATCGTACATATATTGATGTAATG